TGTTTCTTCGAGATCACAATGAGATATATACTCTACAAGAGTATAAATACAATACTCTTATGGAATATTGATATTGACAGTTCGTTCTATTTTTCGAGCTAAACAATATAATATTTTAAAAATCAAGTTTTGTGCTCCAAATGAGAAACAACGCAATATTCTAGAAGAATATTGAACAAATATAAAGTTGTTCTTCTACAAAAGTAACGACACAATATTTAAGAATTGAAATGGATTTAGATAACTTTGAGTAATCTAAAATTCTTCCCAAAAAAAAAAAACTGAAAAATTTTTGTTATTCAAAAATTTACAATCTCCCAATCAATTCAAAATTTTCGATATTGATCGCATAGAGATTTCTCACAAATGAACCGTTTGTTCTTGATCTTAACCGCTGGATTTGAAGAACCATGAGTTGTCAACCTGCTATCCAAATTTCACGACGATTGAATCACAAAACACTAAGATCATAATGTTTCGATCACAGCTGCGCAGACTGTCCAGATTCAACGAATTTCTGCATTATTGATTCCGAAGTAATAATACATTTCTTCCATAGTATACAAAATCAAGTCTTTTTACGAGTATCAATCCAATTCTAAAGTATTGATTTAATATCGACATGAAATTCATCAAGAATATGATATGCAAAGATGTACCATTTTCCAAAATAACAATACAATATCATTAAATATTATATACGTGAATTTGTACTTCTTCAGTAGCAACAATATCATACAAATATAATATTTATTTTCAAGCAACACTACAATATTCTTCTGAAATATTGATTTAAATATTATTATTGTGGAATATTGAACAACAAAATTACATTCAAGCAAATATTTATATATCATAAATTGGTATAATCAAACGATATGATCAAATCAAATAAGTATAATGTCATGTTTGATAGCACGAAATTTTCTAGGGAACTTGGAATTAGTTTTCCATTTTCCATTTTTAGACTGTTTGGTAGGCTAAATTTTTCATTCCACTCAATTCTTGATTTTCCTTGAAAACCAATTCTCACCCAGGTTACTTTTTTTGGCAATTGGAACGAATTATATTCCCAATTGTAACAAATTATATCCATTTAATTGACAATTTTCATGAAAAATAAAGTCAAACGAATAGTATTCTGTATGGTAATTTTTTTAAAAAAATTTTAAATTTTTTTTTTTTTTTTGGCAATTGGAACAAATTTTAAACCTAATGGTAAAAAAAAATATCATTTTAATAGATAATTTCCATGAAAAGCGAAACCAAACGGACACCAAACTTTTAACATTTTTTTCAAGTGGGAAATTATACAAATCAAACACAATTAATTACAATTATCAGTTAAAAAATTTCAGGCAATTCAATTCTATATAATTTATTTTCTTTCTACCCGAATTTCACATTTGCAATCAAACGGACCCTAACTTCTTAAGAGAATACTTGCCGTTTATTTGAGCAGA